CATATATATGGAATTTAGAAAGATGGTAATGATAACCCTATATGCAAGACAGAAAAAGAGACACAGATGTATAGAACAGACTTTTGGACTCTGTGGGAGAAGGCGAGGGGGGGATGATCTGAGAGAATAGCACTGAAACTTGTATATTATCAATTGTGAAACAGATCGCCAGTCCAGGTTTGATGCATGAGACAAGTGCTCAGGGCTGGTGCACTGGGATGACCCAGAGGGATGGGATGGGGAGGGAGATGGGAGGGGGATTCAGAATGGGGAACACGTGTAAATCCATGGCTGATTCATATCAATGTATGGCAAAAACCACTACAATATTGTAAAGTAATTAGCCTCCAACTAATATAAATAAATGAAAAAAAAAACCCTCTCTCTTTTCTTTTTAGCTTTCAAAGTGTTGCAAAAACAAACAAAAATTCAGGCTGAAGAGGAAGAAAATTCCAGTTCTTTCTTCCATTTCAAATACTAACCATATTTGCAATACTCCCAAGAAAAACACTCTACAAAAGATAACACAAAAATAAGAACATTTCATATTGTAGGTAGGTTTATTAGCATGACAATTTCACTCATTATTACATTTAAAAGGAGATGGCAAGGAACTCAAGTAACATTTTAATTTTTCTTTGAATTCTATGGCTTACATTGTTTTGTCATTTACTCACTAAATCATGTCCAAGTCTTTTGCTACTCCATGAACTGGAGCCCACCAGGCTCCTCTGTCCATGAGATCTCCCATAAGAACACTGGGGTGGGATGTCATTTCTTTCTCCAGGGGCTCTTCCTGACCCAGGGATTGGACCTATGTTTCTTGCACTTCAGGCGGATTCTTTACCACCAAGTCACCAGGGAAGATTTATATGCTCCTATATAAATTCAGACATGTCAAAGGAATATATGCATACTTAAATAAGCTATAAGATCAGATGTAAAGCAAGATGTAAAAGAATACGCATGACATGCAGCTTTTTGTGTCTTTGCTAACACTTGCTAAAGAAAACAGAAGGATTTTCAGTTACCTACAGGGGATGAAGGGCTTCCCAGGTGGCTCAGTAGTAAAGAACCCACCTGTCAATGCAGGAAACGCAGGTTCAATCCTTGGGTTGGGAAGATTCCCCAGAGTAGAAAATGGCAACTCATTCCAGTATTCTTGCCTGGGAAATCCCACTGAAAATTTCAGAGGAGCCTGGCAGGCTACAGTCCATGGGGTCACAAAAGAGTTGGAGACGACTTGGCAATGAAACAACAACAACAAAGAGGCGAATGGGTGGAATATGATGAAGCAAAAGGTACAAGGACAGAAGTAAGATTTCTCTGATGACATCTTTTGTGTAAATGCTTTATGTATTCAAATTTAATTTTTAAAAAGTTATCCCTGAAATTGAAAACAAATGTAAAATAAATGAGCCTAACCACAGCGAATGTATATCATAACCACACAAAGAAAAATTACTTCACATCACTATAGAATATGTTATTTTGATGACACATCCTTAGTTAGAGATATTATAAAGACAGTAAGAACTGTAAAGAAACTTTAAACTATGCCTGACAGTAGGAACCATATTTCAAGGTAACTAAAGAGCTTTGGCTTATGAGGAAAAGCTGTTTCTTTTATAAAAGAATGTCTGCTAATAAATGCTGCTGCTGCTGCTGCTGCTGCGGCTGCTAAGTCGCTTCAGTCGTGTCTGACTCTGTGCGACCCCATAGACGGCAGCCCACTAGGCTCCCCCGTCCATGGGATTCCCCAGGCAAGAGTACTGGAGTGGGCTGCCATTGCCTTCTCCGGCTAATAAAAGAAATATACACAATAAACTAGAAAAATAATGATTTTTGCAACTCTTGATGAAATAATTGGGTCAGGCAACAACAATTACCAGTGGATGTTAAAACCATTAGAGAACTGATAAAGAACTGGTTATTTGCATGGTATCAAAACATTACCAAAGAGTTAATTAACTAAATCACTTAAAAATAGAGATATATGGCTGTCTCCCCATTAACACAGTTATCAATCATGAAACATGGGACTACCAGACATTCCATCTCTTGAATGATACAATATAAAGTGTTATTTATAAAGTACAAAGTGCTCTTGCCAAAATGTTTCCTTGAATATAACCACAGCTTCAAGGTTAACTTTTAGTAAATATAATGGTTAGAGGAAAAAATAAAATTATGACAGAATATAATTAAACATTCAATATTTTTCAGAGAGGGGAAAAGGAAAAGGAAGAGATTCTATATTAAAAAGACTTAGGATATGAAACATCCAAGGACAATGCAGAGTCCTTGACTGGATCCAGGGACAACTAAGGAAATGTGAATGTGGTCTGGACATTCAACAATATATAAAGTATTGTTGTCAATTTTGTAAAGTATAATAAAGTTACTGTGGTTATGTAAACAGAAGACTTCTTTTTAGAGATGCATACTAAAATCCTAAGGGGAGAAATGCCTGCGATTAAAATACTCTTACAAAAAGCAAACGGAGCAACTATGGTCAAATGTTAATAACTGTTTACTATTAATCCAGGTGATAGTTAGTCATCATACTATCCTTCTCATATGAAAATTTTCAGAGTTGAGAAAAAACAGACATACCTTAAAACGTTGCAAACGTCCAATTTTTTCACCAACTTCAGCCTCCATTGACATCAATTCATTCTTCTGTTTCCCATTTTCTTTCCTAAGCTGTCTCTCCATTTCTACCAAAGTAGTATATTGCCGGATGAGTGACTTTTCATTCACCTGTAAGACTGTGATCTTTCTACTATTTTCTGCAAGTGTTTTTTTCATTTCATCTGAATCCATCTGAAGAGCACTGAGCAAATTCTGCACAAAGTCACATTTATATTACTTGTTGAATCTAGCTATCTTAGTTTGAATAATATTGCATATTGATTTTAAAAGTGCTTTACTTACATTATATTCTTTTACTTTTATAGCATCTTGTTGGATTTGATCCTCAAGTCTTTTTTTTTCCTCTTTCATTGTTTCAGATTCTGTTTTCCAGTTCTCCTTTTCACTTAAAAGAATTTTTTAAAAAAGCAATACAGTAAATCTATAGGAAGAGATAACTTTAGATAATGGAAATTTAGTTACCATAAAACAAGAGAAATTATAACTAATCAACATAATGGTAACATAAGTTAAAATGCCATTTGAAAGGGTTAATCCTGGAAGTTATTATTATTATTTAATAAATTGAAGGTATATTTTATCAAATTATTTAAACTACAAATTACTACTCTATAACTATTACAATATAATGATAATGGATCTTGTAAATATTTTATTAAAAACAGGCAATGATTAAGAAAATAATCAATATTCCAAACTTACTCTGGAAATCAAGTCTCGGTATTCTGACCCTATTTTTAAATTTGAGTGTTAAATAATCGGGAAATATTTAGAATGCATACAAAGTAATAAATCATTAGACTTAAAGAAGGTGTATAATATATTGTTGCCTACCCAGACCTCCAATCTGGTTGGCATAAACCACTTATAGTGTCAGCACTGAATGGCTCAAACCTGGACATATGAATTGGAGAGCTCATTTACTATTCTGCTAATGAGATCTAAGTCTGCCGGAGGCCTCTAGAAAAAATTTTATAAATAAAAACAAAGAATTATGTGAAAAGAAAACACCCGTCTTCTTCAATGGACATGGTTCCATCTTCCCTGAACTCCTAACTCCTGCACCACCACAGGAGATAATCTGACATACACCAGAAGATTCCCAAACATGACCGACCCTATACTTAGCTTTGGCTTTCTTGTTGGATTAAATCATAATCACTCTTAGTGTTTAAACCACCTTTGATCAGATATTCTAATTATTTCTAAAGATATTAGTCCGTTAGTACAGATGAGATGGCAGAGGTAAGAACAGGCTAGTTCTCTATGAAAACACATGAACAATGATGATGGTGATGAAAAAGAACTACTAAATGCTGACACAAACTGTTCATATGGGCCATAACATCCACAAAACACTCAGATCTGGGCATTTCACATAATTAATTATTTTACATAATTAAGTCATTACGTTAATAGTAACTATGAAAAAGTACTACTATCACAGAATTTTATGGACAAGGAACTAAAACACAAAGCAGAGGTGAAGAGCAGGACGAAAAAAGAAAAGAAAATATCTAAATAATTTGTTACTTAACTTTAATAAGAATATGCTACATTTATAAAGTTTTGCTAACACCTATACCTTAGGTATTCTTTATATAATAAGCTTTGTTGATGACGAATTACTGCAAATTTTCTGTTATAGTCTTCAAGAGAATCTTCTAAATTCTTTAACTTATTTTCTTTATATTCTAGTTCCTAAAAATTGGTTTAGAAATGAGAATGAAAAAAGCATCAGGATATATTTTAAATATGAAAGTATAAATTCATATTATGACAAGATTATAGAAAAATATATGAGATAACAGACAACAAATCCATAAGCAGCCCAGATCATTTCTATGATTATTTTGAACATCTTATGGCATATGAAATGAGATAATATGTGTAAAAGAGAAGTGCTATGAAACAGATAAGATTATTTTCATCATATATTTATAATAGTTACAGGAACCATACAAATGATCAGATACAGTAGTTACAAACTTGCCTCTAGCCACTCAGCCCCACATACCCTTTAGTGAACAAAATTCTAATACTCAAGGATTAAGTAATATAATTTACAAATACAAGCATTTGATAAGCATAACTCAAGTATATTCACAAGTGGATTACTTAGGAAAGGGAAACAGCAGTGCTTATAACGAAAAACTTATTTTCATTGATTCTGAACACATTTTTGTAATTATATTTGAAAAGTAGGTGATTTTATGGCTATTCAGACTTAAAATGAAAAAAATGAAAAACAACTCTCATTAGGCCATTCATCATTATGAAATGGAGAGAGCAAAGCTGACAAACAAATATAGAGCAAGCAGTATCCTCTCTGATTTGCTAATGGGTTAACTAACACCTTACAGGGCAAAGGGAAGAAAGAAATAAAAGATAATTTTAAGACAGCTTTTCTTAAAAGTTTTTCTTGTAGTCAACACACAAAAAAGGAACAATTCTAATCATTACACAAAAGACTGTGCCAGACTTTATTCATCTGAATTGCTTTTCCAACGAGCAATAGATAAAAGAGCTCACCTTACTTATACATTACTACCTTATAGTAGCTGCATGTTATTCTATCTGTCAATCATATATTTCATATGAATGGCACACATGCTTTTCATTCAGATGAACAGAATAAACTGCTTTTATTCATAACATTCCATCTAACATCAAAATCCAGTAAAAATACATCTCACTGTTAAAAGTCTAAGAACTCAAAGAAACAGCCAATGATTAAATTGTTATTATGCTGTTCACATATAAAGTTTTCAGTACCTGTAAGATATGTATTAAATATTCATTCTGAGAATTAATAATATTGGCACTAGATGGTGCTATCCCATCAGGTAAGTCTATTCCTTTAAACACAACATTTGATCCTTCTGTTTGTCGTAAAAGACTGGTTTCTTTTTCAAGATGATCTATCTGGAAAAAAACAGTTCAGAAATGAGAATCTCATCTCTTACACAAAAAGAAAGACAAATTAAAAAGCAGTAACTTACATTTCCTAAAGAGTAACTTTAACAAGTAGATATATGACTGCTCTGCCAGGTACTAATTAAATTATAATGTAATTTCTGCTTAGAGAGCCCTAAGAATACATTTAAAATCTTTGTATCCTTTTATATTTTCCAAGAAGGCAATGGCACTCCACTCCAGTACTCTTGCCTGGAAAATCCCATGGATGGAGGAGCCTGGTAGGCTGCAGTCCATGGGGTCGCTAAGAGTCAGACACGACTGAGCGACTTCACTTTCACACATTGGAGAGGGAAACGGCAACCCACTGCAGTGTTCTTGCTGGAGAATCCCAGGGACGGGGGAGCCTGGTGGGCTGCCGTCTGTGGGGTCGCCCAGAGTCGGACACGACTGAAGCGACTTAGCAGCAGCAGCAGCAGTGGCTCAAACTGTAAAGAATCTGCCTGCAATGCTGGAGACCGGGGTTTGATCTCTGGGTCAGGGAAAATCCCCTGGAGAAGGAAATGGAAACCCGTTCCAGTATTCTTGCCTGGAAAATCCCATGGACAGAGGAGCCTGGCAGGCTACAGTCCATGGGATCACAAAGAGTCAGACACAACTGAGCAACTAACACACAAACATTTTTACATTATAAGGTACTCATTTTTCCACTAATTTTATTTTAAAAATCCAAACAGAAGCTTTCTAATATAGAAAGAATTAATTCAAGGGGCATTTTCTCATAAAATAGTCATTAAAAAAAAGTTTCACATTAAACCTTTGTTCATAAGCTTAGCATTTTATTTAAAAAAATTCTCACCTTTAAATGTGCTTTTGTCAACTGCTGAGAATAATTTATAGCCTCTTTCCGAGATTCTCTGAGCTCCTGTCTTAATTCTTCATTCCTTCCAGTAAGTTGATCAACTTGGGCTTTTAAATGCAGACTGGCATCAAATATTCCTTCTGCATTCTTTGATTCTATAGCCTAATATATTTAAATTATATTGAAATGTAAAGAAAAACACTAAAATCATAGTATAATAATCTATCTTTAAATAACACTCATATTTAAGCATGATACTACTCTCATGTGTAATAATGTATACCAACTCTATCTCTTACAAATTTATAACATACCAGTTAACCTACATCAGTATTATCAAGCATACTGATCACCTCATTCTAACAACTGACAAATATTGAGCTAACCCAAGTAGACTGGTAGACCAGAAAAACAGCTAAACAGAAACAAGATGACTAAGGTTCAAATATAAACCAATCTCTTACTAGCTGGGCAAGTGACTTAAAATTCCTTAAATCTTAGCTTCTTTATCTCTAAAAAAGGGGAAATAATGTTAGCTCTGTTCACTTCACAAAGCTTTTATACAATCAAAATGAGATAATTTATATGTAAATACTTTGAAACCATGAAGCATCTTAAAGTAAAACTTAAGCAATGGAATGAAATAGCTACTACATTCAATTAGATAAAATTTTCACTGCTTCCTTTCCATACAGTTGAAGCATACAAGATAATAAAAGCAAAGTATGATAAAATAGTCTTATCCAAGAGCTCTGGATAAACAAAAATAGTATGAATATTGAAGTCACCAACCCACTTCTAATGCTATGTCTCAGATCAAACTCTATTCTACAAGGGGAACTCTATTGAGTGATCAAATATTGACAAAATAAACAGCCCAGTAAAATTCTAACTTTTCTATTTTAATTGACAGCCTCTGGCGTTCCTAATACCACTGTTCCATAGAATTCATCTGCTTCTCTTCTGGGTTGTTATTTCTCCTTTTTTCTGATTGATATGCCCCATCCAATGACATAGCAGTACCTCCTCTAAGAGATCATCAGAATGGCACTTTAGATCAGATAACTGTTATGCACTTAAGTTCACTTTCTATTGCTATAGGATACTTCTCAGGGTCCCTAATCACTGTCTAATTCAATCTCATTTTCCAAAAGACCTTATAGACAACATGATGCTATTTATCAACAAGACAACTAACTAGACTACTCTGTCACCTGTCAGAGTACCTCCTTCTGCCTATTGCTTCCTGCTATCCCTTTTGAATTAGTATAAATTATTACTTCATGTGGCCTGTTCTGCTCTTCTTAGGTTAAAGGCTTACTCTTAGAAATCTACTGCTTTGAGTTAAATCCCAGATCACACTCTTGATGAGATTACATATGATTTTACTCATCTTGCTGCCTCTGTCTCAGCATGACCCTTAAAATAAAAAGTGGAGATAACAGAAGAAAGTATCAGTGAACTTGAAGATAAATCAATAGCAATTATCCAACTCAGAGAAAAAAAGATAAAATATTAGGGAATAAATGAACAGAGCCTCAGGGATTTGTCTAACATGTATCACTGGAGTCCTAGAGACAATGGGGGCAGAAAAAATAATGAAGAAATTAATGGCAGAAAATTTCTCAACTGTGGTGAATAATAAGTGAACAAGCTCAGGAAACCCCAAACAAGGCGCGCACATGTGTGTGTGTGCGCGCGCGCGCACACACACACACACACACACCCTTTGGCACATTACAGTCACACTGGTGAAAACAAAATGAAAAGAGAAAGTTTTGAAGCAGTCTGAGAACTATACATTTCATACAGTGGAATGACTCAAATGACAGTAATGTTTCATTAGAAGCTGTGAAGACCACTGAGAGTAGAACAACATTTTTAAAGTGATGAAACAACAAAATAAAACTATTAAATATAAAAATAACTTACATTAACTAGTCTTTCAAGACTAGGAATAATTAGAGATGTTTCCCCTCCTTTAACATCAGGATCTTTCTGCATTTCCTTAATAGCTTGCAATATTTCTTTCATACCTTCTTCAAGTTGCTTATTTTCTTCAACTAATTCTTTTACTAAAAATGACATATTTATTGAATGAATGAGATTTACAATTTATAATTTACACTAGGTATAACTTTACAATTATACTATGCTATAGAGATGACAAGTATTTCACATATAGCAAAAATAACCCATTTAATCAATTAGTTCTCTTGAAAGAAATTCATTCTAAACAAAATAAAGAGAAAATTGTTTTTTTAAAAAAATATTAGAATAGTTTATAGTTTTGAAGTTTAAAGAAAAGTTTGACTAACTGAGGTTTAAAATACCTAAAACAAGCTACAGAAACATAGCCACAGTCATAAAAATAAAACAAAACTTAAAAGGTGAAACAGGTAATGATTACCCCTTCCACTTTCTCCCTCCCTGCAACACCATGGCAAAAGGCAAGCAGATAATAAAGGTTTTTCTCTTTAGCACCACAATCATCTCTTTTAATGATCTGCCTTTACACTACCTGTTCTGCCTGGCTTCTAAGATGTTCAAGCTCTATTTCTGCATTTCTATTCTGTGCTTCTTTGATCAATAAATCCTGTGCTATGACTTCATTCTAAAGAAACATGTAATAATTAGGCAAGTTAATGAGTTCATTTCAAACGTACTGCATTTTTAGATTTTTAAAAGAAAGAATGTGAATAAATTAGTGTTAATGTGCAAACAGAAAAATTATTACAATTGCTACTTATAGAATTTTGTTAAAAAGTCATAAAAATGAATTAAAAGAAAATCCTAGGAACGTTATTTGGAGGATAGCTCACCTGAGATCTAAGAAATACTAGTTCTGTCCGTAGCTGTTCTATAAGATTTTCAAGTGGATCTATCTGAGGTAATTTTGACTGTGCAGTAACTGGCACAGGGTCTGGAACATCAACTTCAAGTTTACCTTTCCAAATTTCTGTCTGTAAGGGTACTTCACCTTTTCCTATATCTTCTTTCAAACCAGTATCAGCAAAGTTGACTGGGGTATGAACCTGTTCATCTTCTGATGTTGCTACTTGTGATTTTTCCATGCCAGCTCTATTATCATGAATTTGTTGACAAAATATTGCTGATTTTTGCCTAAGTGATAACTTCTGTGTTAAATCTGAAGCTATTGATAAGGCTCGTAAAGATGAATCATTTTTTTGTGTGAAATTAGTCTTTTCAAGTGCCTGATGGCTTCTTGTCACTTTCTTCATAGACTCATCAGAAAGAGAACATAAATATTCGTTTATTTCTTCATGACTATCTCTACTAAAGGTACTGATTAATGATTCTAGATTTCTTAAAGACTGTAGACAGGGTGCTTTAAAAATCTCCCTTATTGTAATAGTTTCTGGAGGTGAAATATTATCTTTCACTTGTACGGATGAAGAATGTGTAGTTAAAGAGACAAAAGGATTCACTTCACTTTCTACATTCTGGTGAATTTCAGATAACATTCTCGATAATGATCCCATGGTCATATTCTCTTCTGGCTCATTCTGATATGACTGTGGAATATTGAATGATGGTCTCCTATGCGGCAGCTCTACTTTATCTGAACTCCTAATCTGTATTCAGAGTAAACAACATTTCATTAATCAATCTTGGGATCTATCTGAGATTTTTTAACAAGTATAAAAAGAAGCAATGTCCAAAATGAGATAATAGGAGAAGAAATGAAAGGCTGATAATAATATTCATTCTCTTCGCCATAGTAATACTTTACTATTTACCTTTGACTGTTCTTCACTCATATTTTTGAGGCTCATGAAATCAAATTTTCTTTCTCTCATTCTATTCTCTTGAGAAAAGTGTTCAGTTAGGTTCAGGTCCTCAGCAATTAATCCTACAAATAAAAGAATTAACAAATGAGCAACATAAAAATAACTCTTTAGTTATCCCAATATTTTAATGCTTTTTTTTTTTTTTTGACTATGCCTCATAGCATGTGGGATCTTAGTTTCCAGACCAGGGATCAAAGCCACACCCCTTGCAGTGGAAGCACGGACTCTTAACCACTGGTAAGCCCCCAATACTTTAATTCTTAAAAACTAAATCAAGTTTTAACTCAAACAAAAGGTAAAATAGTTATTCCAAAATCCTTGATCCATATGTAGCCTCCTTTACAACTGCCTGATTTAGGCCACTTTTAATAAGATATTAATAAGAAACAATACAAATTCTATCTTCTCTATCATTCTTTTTTCACATATTAATAAGTGCTAAAATAGTTAAAATATATACACACAAAGAATAATGAATGATTACTAAATTGCTTAATATATTAATAAATTACCAAGTTTTGCCCTTCTAGAAATGTAGCAAAACCACAGGAATATAGCAATACTATTTCCAACTTACAGAAAATTCTATATCCACACAATTCATTTTCTAAGGACTCTTTAAAGGTCTGGAGTAACAGTATACCTGAAGTGACAGTTCTTTTTCCTTTTTCTTGAGCCATTTGACGAATTTTTTTCTTCAGATCAAGTCGCTCTTCCTCTAGACTTTCAATCTACAAGGTATAAACCATTAGTATTGCTCTTTGCTTCAACCAGGAAAATAGCCAGCTGACTACTGCACTTGCCTCTTTCAAAAGAACCTGGTTTTCAGCTCTGTACTGCTGCTGCTTTAAACTTTTGCTCTTTCTAAATTCAGTTAAATCAATCATTGTCATTGGTTCAAGGCCTAAAATAAAAAGCAATATGATTAAAACCTTATTCATATTCAAATGAGCTACAAAAAACTTCATATAACAACTGGTTATCATCAAGCAACTGGTTATAATCTATTTAGCCAGCATCACTGAAGAACGGGGTACTTTTTGTACAAGAATTCTTCAGGTATTTGAACTGTATAAGCTAAAATTTTATCACAATTTAATGGAAATCCTGATAAAAACATATGATCTGTCTTCTCCATGTTGGACTGTCATAGTGGTACTATCATATATTAAGAACAGAAGCTTTGGCATAAAACAGTTGGGTTCAATTCCCACTTTTAATTATTAACTAGGTGTAGGGATAATATTATATGTATGTATGTATGTATGTATGAGAAGGAAATGGCAACCCACTCCAGTGTTCTTGCCTGGAGAATCCCAGGGACGGGGGAGCCTGGTGCGCTGCTGTCTATGGGGTCGTGCAGAGTCGGACACGACTGGAGCGACTTAGCGGCAGCAGCATGTATGTATGCATTTCTTTGTCTTGTTGTCAGGGGTATAATAAAATTAACCCAAATAAAGTACTTATAGCAGTGCTTAGCACAGAGTAGTCATTATTGATATCAATATTAATTATATTATCAAGACTAGACTGACGTTCTCTTTCCTAATTTCCTATTACTAAGAGGCTACCATGCTCTGAAAACCAGATATCAAGACTGTCTCAATAATTATGAAGCAAGATTTGGGGCCTTTAAAATACAGAAAGTCTAATGTTTATGACTACTGTCTATGTAGTTCAGTCATCTTTATGAACATCCAGATTGAAGTTGGCCATAATCTGATAGGTCAAATTGATTAGACTAAGTCTAACTTGAGGTCCTGGCATGACTCTGGGTTCTAGTCAGAAACTCTTTTACAAATAAATAGTATGTATAAAATATTTACTTTTTTTTCCTTTGGAGAATACTTTTTACAGGTGATCACTTTAATCCTAGAAGAGCATTAATTGGTATCTACCAAGTATAATGAAATCATTATTTACATCTTTATTTTCATTTTAAAGTAGCAATTTATACTGCACTGTCATAACGTTCAAACTAATGAACTATTCACTAGTGAACTATTTACTGATATCAATATACAAACTTTCACATGATATTTACTAATTACTTCTTATAATCAATAGTAACCTTATAATACTCAACCTAAGTAAAACTTAATCTAAACTATAAAATTCAAGTATTTATCAAATAAAGTCTTAAAAAGGATTGAACAGTATTTCTAAATGTTCCCAAGATTCCCAATGAAGTTAGAGCATTTTGCAAACTAACAAATTACTTTTGTTGAAAGTAAAGGTAACTTGTAATATGTGGTATTAAGTTAGTAGACTTTCATTTTTTAAACAAGCAGTTATTATTGAGGAAATCTTGGACTGAATATAGCAATGCTCCAGATCTGGCCAACTATCATCCCAATTCCATCCAATCCATAATCCCACTTCAGTTGGAACAGTTCCACTTGTACTAATTCTAAATATTCTTATAGGAGGAGTTATTTGGAAAAAAAGTATATCCAATTATTAACAATAAAAATAAACAACAAAAAAAGGACTTGACCATCAGGGTTGCGCAAACTCCGTATCCTAAGAGATGACTTACCCATGCGCTCCCTAAGTGCCTCATTTTCATCAAGAAAATCACTGATCTTCAACTCAAGCTTATTGATTTCCTTTGTCAATACTTCAATCTCTCGGTCTCTTATTTTAATTTGGTTTTTACAATTCTTTATTTCAATAACAGCATCTTCTAAACCATAAACTCCCTGAAAAATACCCAATGTGATTTAAATATAACATTGTTTATTTGAATAAATTCTCAAGTTCATACATTTCTTATTAAGTTGAGGGGAAGTGCCCATAAAACTAAGATTTATATCTTTAAACTGTGTTTTTTTAATGGTACTTTTAAAAAACAAATCCAGTAGTAATAATAACAGGAAATGGAACAATTGACATTTCCCAGTACAGCATCCTAATGGCAAAGCAACTCAGAATATTACCTATTAAACACTTAACAACATATGGAAAAAGAACAGTAAGGGAGAATCAGCAATACCATTAGAAAAAGTAGGTTATCAGTGGTATGATATAGCAGTAACCAGATTTAAAAATATAAAAAGTACAAAGTAAAGCTGTGTTGGCACAGTAGGCAGCATCCCCCCCCCCCAACGTTTATACAATCAGTGGTGTCACATGGTGGTACAATGGCATAGATTATAAAGAATCGAATCCTGCTGCCTCAGCAAAGCTGATTATCTGGGCAAAAGGCTTTATCCAAATGGTTTGAAAACAATTTTCCTGCCAAAACGTTAATGCTACACAGAAGCTTGAACACTTCCGTGTAAGTCAGTTAGGATAACCTTTATCATGAGATACTTCTGGGATGTTTTTAAATGCACACAGTAAATGGCACAGAACAGTCTAACTTGAAGTGGCTTGTCATTGACAAGATAAAAATACATACGGATTCATAATCTTTTAATCGCTTCAAAGTTTCAACCAGTTCTTTATCCTTTTCCCTAGCATCAGCTTCAGCCAATTCAGCTGTTCTCTCAGCCTCTTTAGTTCTCTCTTCTAAAATTTGAACCTTAGACTGAATTTCCATGTAATGGGTCCGTTGCGAAAGTGTTGAAGCTCCTACAGGGTAAAAATTAAAATCATCAATGAACTGAAGTGATTACTTACTCCTATAAATGACTGGTTCCAATATGGGAAGCAGGAAGAGTGGTATGTCACTTTTAAAAGTCCATTTAATATTATAAATTTATTTTTATAAAATAAGTTTTAATTCAATTTTATTAATAAAACTAAAAAGGATTCTAAGAAAATCTTAGCAGAAAAGGTATGAATTATAAAAGATTGGAAAGCACTGCTTTACAAGGAATGATCATCGTGGCAAAGGCTGATAATCTGTTTCTATCAGCCATCCTCCATTGTGTCCACTGTAATAGAACTATGGTCTTTCAGTTGGACACATGGCCACTTCAAATAAAGACTAAATTTCCACTTACATTTCAGTAGCCAAGGGTGGCTATGTGACTAATGGATATAAACAGAAAGACTATGTGCACATTTTCAGGAAATGTTTTTTAAAGGAGAGGAGTGCAATTTTCTTTTCTCCTTCCTTCTGCCTGCCAGCTGGAATATGTGCATTAGGGCTCCAGCCAGACTCAAACAGTCTTCCTTAAACTGTATATAACTTATAACTTCTTCCATTAGATGGAAACCACATGTTGGGACAGGCAGAGCAACAATATATAGGGACCGGGTATCTGGTATTTGTTCATCTAGCTCACCAACCCTATACAAGTTGCCTCAACTTCAATTGTATTAAGGAAAAGTGCATTTCCATCCTTTTTAAACTACTGTCACATTTGATTTTTTTTTCTATCACTTGCAGTTAAACTTAACTGTAACTAGTTGCTAAAAATTCCTACTTGTACATCTTACCAAATTGTTGCTAAGACCAAAATAAGCATTCCCATCATTTTAAATTTTACTGCCAATAATCACTCTTATCATAGTAAACACCTACTGAATTATACAGTCTATACTTATATAAGGCATTGGACTAGTGTGGGAGATCACACATGTTTATAAGAAGTGAGCCCTGCTTTCTAGAGAATGTGAAAGAGCCTGCTGTCCCCAAAATCTATTCTCCCTATTTTCTGCATTGTTGTTCAGTTGCTAAGTAGTGTCTGACTCTTTGCGACCTCATGGACTGCAGCAGGCCACACTCCTCTGTCCTTTACTACCTTTCAGAGTTTGCTCAAATTCATGTCCATTGAGTTGGTGATGCTATCTAATCATCTCATCCTCCGCCACCCCTCTCTCCTTTTGCCTTCAATCTTTCCCAGCATCAAGGTCTTTCCCAATGACTTGGCTCTTCACATCAGGTGACCAATAACTGGAGCTTCAGCTTCAGCCATCAGTCGTTCCAATGAATGCTCAGGGTTGATTTACTTTAGGACTGACTGGTTTGATCTCCTTGCAGTCTGTAAGGACTTCTGCTGCATGACCCTTCCACAGTAAATTACTGCCTATCCTTCAGTACATGCCCTTTGCTTCTTGCCTCCTCTTGCTCTGTCTTGCTGTTTGGGACAGGATGTGAGGGTAAAGTTATATTTTACATGAGGCAAATGAAGGCAATACCCTAGACCACCTAATTCTAGATCAGTACACAAGTGAGAAATAAACCTCCATCGTGATTTTGCCATTTTTCAGATGCTCCTGAGAACTAAAATTAATCCAAATCAATGAAGGGGGAACACCATTAACTGACATATACATGTTAAAGTCAAGACAAAAAGAATATGCTAAAAAAAAAAAAAAGAATATATAGTACACACACCTTCTGTGGGCTTTTGGGGTCATATGACTTCAGACCAACATAGTGTCATTAAACAAGACCCCTTCCTTATATGATAGCAGAGATCAACTCTCAGTTTTCCTTCTCTTGACCGGAATATGCAAACCCCACAATACCTATCATCCTTTTAAAGGAATTTAAGCTACTGGCAAAGTATAACTCTCAAATATACATAACACAGACACACATAGAAATAAGTATATCCAGTGGACCTTGATGGTGCTCAATAATCACAGTACATTTCCCGAGTCTGTTCATTCTTCCAGATGACCAATTCACACCTTCTCTTTACTTTAATCTCAAACTTCCAATACATCTGCCTCTATCCTTGCTTTCATCCGAGAACTCTGCTTCCTTGTTTATTGAGAAAATAGAAGTTTTTACTGTCAGGACATCTACCCAACCACATTCAACTCTATGTATACACTCCAGCTTTCTTCCTGCTTTTATGGGTAACTCTCTGTGCTCCTAAGCCTGCTACTCCAGTGAACACTAGATCCCATCCCACTGCCTCCTCAAGGCTATTAGTCCAGAAGTCCTTCTGTCACTCCCCTGCGTCATCAATTCATGAATTGCTTCTTCTCTAATTGATCTTTCCTATTAACTTAGAAACATGATTCTTTCATCCACTTAAAAAACACTTTTTACCCTTCTTCCCCCAAGATACCACTCTATTTTCTCCTTTCCTTTGCAGAAACAGCCTTCAGAAGTCTTTGTACTTGCCCTATTTCATCTCTGTATTTTCTCTTGAACTAAAAACGACCACTAAGAAACCCAGTGGTCAATTTGCAGTGCTCCTCTTGGCGTATCAGCAGCAATGAACACAGCACCGCACACAGCTGCTTATGCTCTGCCTTAACGACATTCCCCATGCGAGTTTTGGGGCTCCACACACTTCTGCTTTTCCTCCCATCTCCCCGCTCTTTCCTTTTCAGCCTCTTTGGTTGCTCCTTTTCATCTCCCCAAGCTCTAAGGCAGAAGCATCCCAGAGCTCGGTCTTAAGGTTTTTCTTCTTAACCAACACTGTCCATCTTCTCCTTTGATCATCTCAGCCAGCCTCATGACTTCCACTACCATTTTTATCACATAGTTCCCAAACTGGTACGTTTAGCCTAGACTGTCCTCCTGGACCTGAGAGCTTTATACACAAGGACCTACTTACTTAGTGAGTAAAGAATCAGCCTGCAGGAGACCTGGGTTCCATCTCTGGGTCAGGAAGATCCCTTGGAGGAGGAAATGGCAACCCACTCTAGTATTCTCGCCTGGAAAATCCCAAAGACAGAGGAGACTGAGGGCAACAGTCCATGGAGTCACTAAAGTCAGACATGACTTAGCGGCTAAGCCGCCACCACCACCGCCTACTTAACACTGTCACTCTGATGTCTGATAAGCATCTCTCACTTAACAGGTCTTGTTTAACTAAGCATCCAATCATCTCTAAACCTCCTCTTTCCACAGTTCTCCCCAGCATTCAGACCAAAAACCCTGATAACTTTCTTACCTTTGACATCCTATCTGTCAGCAAATTTCATTTCTATCACCTTCCAAATACATCCAGAACTGACTACATATAACTTCACTGCTACCTCCATGCTTTCAGCTACCGTCACCTTTCCCCAAGTTGCTACAATAGTTTTATTGTAAGCAGGTTTCCCTGCTTCTGTCCTTACCACTCCTCAAGTCTATGGAGGACACAGTCCAAGTCAAACTACATCACTTCTTTCTTCAGAAACTCCTTGATATCCATTCTCACTTAAAAGAAAAGCCCAAGTCCTTGCAATGAATCGTAAGGCCCCACAGGATACAGCCTTGCCTCTCTGACTGCATACCGATGACTGCCCACCTGCTCACTCTACTCCAGTCAGAATGACGTCTTTGCTGTCCCTCAAACACGTGCCACACACTCCTGCTTCAGTGCCCTAAGCTCATCTGCCCCTTCTCAGGAACATATGCATGGCTCCCTCGCTCAGTTCCTTTAAGCCTTTGTTTAAATATCTCCTCAGTGAGGCTTTTGCTTCACTATCTAAATTACAACCACACCTTCACCACCACCACCACCACTATTATTTCACTTACACAAACACACACACATAGACTCACTCATTACTTCCCATGTCTTATTTTTTATCTTGGCAATCACAGTAAATGGACTTATTTATGTCATGAAATTATGAACAGTTTGCATGAATGTGCTCTGGTACAACTATAGTATGTAGTGTTATGGAAATACAGGATCAACGATGTTTTAAGGGCTTACATTCAAAAGATTTGATGAGTTAGGTAAGTTTGCATGACCCAGGGTAGGTAGAAAATGACATTATCAAGTTGGGTAAGATTAATTCAAATGTTGACAAGTCAATTACTTTGGAGAAAATCTCTGCAACATTGTTACACTTATCAAAAGTTTATTTTCTTTCATTCTCTGTTGATTACAAAAAGGAGGATAAATACCATCACCATTTTTCATTTCTTTTATACAGCCAATCTGGTAATAGAGATTGATGTAATTTTCATCAGAGAAAATCTATAGAAAATACTGCCACCATTTACAAGTTTAAACACTAGTATCACATGTAAAGTAGTTAATAATATCAGGTAAAACTTTTTAAAATATGATAAAATTCAAATAGAGAAAAAACAACAACATATTGCTATACATAATTCCATTTTAATAAAAATAAAACATTTTTAAAATTTAATGGTATCTAAAATAACTACATACTTATAAAACATTGAATTACCTTTATTTCTTTGGAGCTCATTTTTCAGATCTTCAATTATAAATGTATTTTTTTCCATTTCTTTTGTATATTGTTCAACTTGCTCAGTGAGCATTTTAATTTGACTATCTCGCTCTTGTATACCCTATAAAATATTTTGAATATCACATATTTTCACTTTCTGAATATTAATATACAATTTAGAAGTAAGAGGGTTTCCCTTGTGGCTTAGCTGGTAAAGAATCCGCCTGCAATGCGGGAGACCTGGGTTTTATTCCTGGGTTAGGAAGATCCCCTGGAGAAGGGAAAGGCTACCCACTCCAGTATTCTGGCCTGGAGAATGCCATGGACGGTATAGTCCATGGGGTTGCAAAGAGTCAGACATGACTGAGTGACTTTCACTAGAAGTAAGAAAAAGGTAGGTCTTGTTTTATTCAACAGAATTATAAAATATATTTTTTATAAATCAAACTCTGTCTTTTACTATTTTGTATACCTCAACTACACTAATCACTGTAGGTATACTACTATCTCTCCAGTACTTAAAGACAATTCAAGGGCTAGCACTCTGGCAAACAGAAATTCCAGAACTCTCTAATGTCTGTGACTTATGACTTCTTTTTGTTATTTTTCCTCATCATCCAACTATCTTTTTATCATTTTATATGTTTCCGTTTTGCCTTGTGCTTTTTTTCCCTCACCACTCTTCACTTTCACCCTTATAGTATACTTCATACGAAAATCTTGTCCTTTGCAACTGTCCTTAGTCTCCAAATACTTCCCAAATTTCCTTCTTTCTTTTAGACTATGACTAGAGAAAACAATTCATGCAAGTGTAACGTCTTTCCTTTTTTACTTTCCTTCTTTTATTTGTGGTCATGCCACATGGCTTGCCATCTTAGTTCCCAGACCAGGGATCGAACTCATGTCCCCTTAAGTGGATGCATGGAGTTCTAACCACTGGACTACCAGGCATATATAAATACATTGGTACTAAATATAAAAATTTTATACAGTACAAATTATAGCCATATTTTAGTTTATTTTACATTGTACAGCATATTTCAGCACTAAAACACAGTATAATAAAGTTTAGTAAGAGTACTACGATATTTAAATGTCTAAAAGTTTTTAATAGTTCCTTATAAATAATTCCCAAACAATAAATGTATTATCTGCATCAACAGAGAAAAATACACAAAACAATTCTATTCCTAACTCTAAATCTAATTATAATTTTTGCTTAGGAATGGATGGTATGAGAAACTTCTAAAGACTTTATTAACTACCCAAAGGTGCCAGTGACTAGATTAGGCACAGGAGATAAATGAAAGACAATTCAGAGTTTCACTGCCAACTTTAATAAAATTCATTGACAAATCAAATTTTGAGAAAGTTTTACCTGTTGTAGAGCCATAACATTACTTTTATCAGCATCAAGCTGGGCATTTTTCAGTTTGTCCCGCAGACTATGTAACATTTGCTGATACTCAATAATTTCATCATCTTTAGAAGACAAAATTAACTAGAAACAAACAAAATAGGGTCTGTTACATAAGAGGAAAATTAATAAACCATTCCTCATTTATGATCCATACTTCAATATATACCATTAGCAGATCAAGAAAATACAGGCAAAAAAATTTTGGAAGTGAGAAAACAGCAACAATTGGAATGACCATTGTCCCTTTTGTGCATACAACCTGAAGTTCAAATAAATGATTCAAAGATATACACTGTGCTTTTTTTCTTTTTAAGGAATTCAATCTTTTCAATTAAACAACTTTAAGTTTCCAAAACCCATTCCTAAAACAAGAAGTTATAACTAGCTCTCTGCAATTACAAAGTGTGTACAACTAATCTTTAAAAAGAAAACATTAAAATGACATGGAGAAGCATAAAATATCTTGAATGAAAGAGGCATATCTACAAAGAAAAATTACAGTCATACAGTCATTAAAAAGAACAAAGCAATACCAAATGTACTGATGTAAACTAGTCCTTAAAAGATACTAAGTAAAAACAAAGTGAAGAATACATTTACTAACATCTCTCCTCCAAAATTAAATGATTAAAAACAACTCTAGAGGTCTACACATGGCAGTTCTTAAAACTTTTCTAGCTAGGACATTTCATACACCTTTGGAAATAACTAACAAAAATCTCACTAACCAGTAGTACAAAGCCTTTAAAGAAAATTAAGACTAAAAATTGAAATCTAAAATTAAAAGCTATTATAGCAATTGAAAAAAAGCACCTTCCACTCTTCTACTTTTGCATTGACAGCTGCCATGATTGGATCATCTTCTTCATTTTTTGCTTTCAGAAGATCTGTAAGCTCCTGCACCTAAAGGCAACAATTATTTCAAGAATGTTGTAAAACAGTGTAACACAAACATATTTGTTATAACTGAATATTTATACATGCATTATACACAGTGATAAGCATACACATGCACACATATACATATATATTTACAGGCATATTCATTATTGGAGCAGTTCTATAGCTAGGGTGACATTAACTGGTCTGTGCATCTTTATAGTTGTAAAATTACTTTTTGTTATAAGGTAATTATATTTTTAAGTATTACTCTAATTTTTAACAAGTTTAATCCTGTGTAAGTAGTGAACAATAAACTGGTTTCTATGATATGCAGAGTGCATTTACTCTAAGGTGTAAAATTAAACTTCATGGTTCACAGGACCTCTAAGAGTCTTTAGTAGCAAATTCCCCAAATTAATAGCTTTGCAGGACTGCTATCTATATATTCATTCAGATATCACCTATACATCCTACATGGCAAGAACTATAAGGTATGTGTAAGGAAACCAGAAAACCATATATAGAGAGACAAATATATCAGCATGGCAACATATTACAGTGTAAGATGGTATATTAGAGCATAAGACAAAAATCTCATATCCTAGAAAGTAAAAAATACTTTCCAATTTCAAATAAACAGTAATGAGGCAATACGAAGTCTGTCCAAGTAAGTTAATCTAACAAGAATCCTTACTTGAAGCCGGTAATGATCATTTTCTTTTTTTAACTGGTCCATCATACTATCTGTCTGATGCACAACAGCTTTCATCCTATTATATTCATCAGTCATCTTCTCCATTTCCTGGACAGACTCCTCTAAATTTTTTCTCATTTCTTGATTCTGAAGTTCAATTTTCTCATTAGCTTCTGTTAAAGTCTAGGAAAGGTAAAGGCATTATAGTTAAAAACAATTTAATAAAACAAATTTAAATTAAAATTAAATGGAATCATAAGTGTTTGCTGGAAAAAATGGAACTTTATACATATTTAGTATCAACTAAATCAAATTACCAACTAAATCAAATTAAATATCAAGAAAACTATAAGAATCTTAGTTCTTAAGAAATGTACAAGATAGACATATAACAAGAATGAATTTGCAAGATTTGGAACTCCAAAGATGCAATTTATTTCATGTTTTATAAATACACATTTGCAGATTTATACTAAATATGTTTAAATGTAGGTCTAAATACTAAATTTACATTATAATGAAAGTTTTATAAAAAAATATAGCTTTGAACTGACTTCCATCCATTTTACCTGAATTTCATCCAGATATTGGACAAGTTCATAGTTTTTTTTAGACAATTGTGATCGGTAGTCACTGTCTTCTCCTCTTCTTGATAAAAGTGTTTCTTTTTGCGAATCTATTTGTTTTTGATAGTCAATAATATCCTGACGAAGCTGTTCATTCTGAACGTAGATTAAACACAACATTCTATTTAAAAAAACTATCCAAAGAAACAAAATTTCACCCTCTAAGTAATGATCTCAAAACACACCTTTAAAATCCCAAGGTTTCACAACCCTTAAAGCCTCACCTTTTTCTTTAGACGTTTGTTCTCCAGAAAACAACAAGAAGAAGGTAATTAGAAATGAGAAAGATAATATATAATTAAGTATAATAAGAAGAAATTAAAGGAAAAAAAGATTTTAGAATAAGATATTATTTTGAATAATCAAAGAAAGCAAGAGTATTAATTACCAACCAAAACAAAAAAATTTTGATTTTATTTAAAAATAAAAATTCATGATAAACAATGTACATTATTTGGCTCAAAAGAACCAAATAATTAACAGAATTTGTAAGATTTCATAAGAAACAAAAAAGAATGCCAGACAAAATAAGAGAAAGTAAGGCAGAAATTCACTCACATATTCAGTTAGCAAACAAGCAAAGAACACCTTAAAAAAGAAAGATTTACCCAAAGAGATCTAACAAATGAATGCAGCACTTAACAGCCTCTCCTTTCTATTTATTTTCTACTTCCCTAAGACAAAGTCATATCATAAAAATCACAGTTCAAAAACATCAACTACTTAGACAATTCCAGTTCTGGTTACAGAATTAATTTATGGAAACTTAATAAGTATCTTTGTTGAACCACTACAATTACTCAATTTTTTTTTACCAACCTCTCTCCTTAATTTGCTGTTTTCATTTTCTGCCTCCTCATTTCGAAGAGCCAACTAAAATAGCAAAAAACAGATAAAAAAGAAAATTCAGCATTAATTCAATGTAATTCCAGGTTTTCAGTTTCTCGTCAAAAAAGCAGAGAATGTTTAATTACTGAGGACTTCATGTTGACCCAAGACATGAAGAGTAAGCCAAAATTTTAAAAACTAAGGATAGGAAGGATTAAGCAGGTTGAGTTTAAAAAACAAAAAACTCTAACCAAAGGATACAGAAAACAAAACCATATTACTCTTCTTCCCAAGCCTAAAACCTACTAATGAGCAGTCTTCTGTCCAAGATCTTTACTGTATTGCAGTTCTATCATCAGAGCTGAAAGACTCCACTCTCAGGGAGCATTAAGTTACTTAGAAATACAAAGCCGTACAACACAATGCTTAAAAAGAAACATGAATGCTTAGATTGTGGGTGGGGAAACTAAAAAGACATCACTGGGCCAACAGAGGAAAACTGATTATGGACTATCTATTAGAAAACAGCATTGAATTGATACTACATTTCCTGAGTATGCTAATTATATAAGTAGTTGTATTGAAAAATACCTCTCCTTTCAGTGGAAATACACTGAAATATTTAAGAATAAAATATCATAATATTTGTAATATTTAAATAAGAAGTATCAGAATATCTCACATTAACTCTAATGGCTCACCAAAAAAGAAAGGAGAGGAGAGGGAATCGAGGGGAGGAGGGGAGGGGAGGGAAGAAAGTCTGTGTGTGCCAAGAGACTGACAGATAAAGCATATGTAGCACGATGTTAACTGGTGAACCTATATAAGGAGTATGTGAGTGCTTATTGCTTTTCTTCAACTCTTCATGAAGATAAAGTTTTCAGAATAAAAAGTTTAAAGAAAGTTCAGAATAAAATGCAATATGCTATACAGATTCCGGGGCTTCCCTGGGGGCTCAGCAGTAAAAACCCTGCCCGCAGCGCAGGAGCCATGGGAGACGTGAGACCCCTCCCCGGGTGGGGAAGGTCCCCTGGAGGAGGGCATGGCAACCCGCTCCAGTAGTCTTGCCCGGAGAATCCCACGGACAGAGGAGCCTGAAGGGCGACCGTCCCTAGGGTCGCAAAGAGTTGGACACGACTGAAGTGACTTAGCACGCATGCTTACAAATATTAGAAGTTTACCGTTATCATTATTATCATCTGGGAATTAAGAAACAGTCCTATCCTATTTTGAACTGGGAAATTTAACAAGAAAACGCATTTCAGGAACTTAAAAGGCAAAACCGCTTACACTACTAATGCTCATTTTCCTTGGTTTTTGAAACACCATACTCCTGATACTCTTTTCTTGGGCTGTTCCTTGAACCACTCTATTTTGTTAGACATTTCTATGCCTCAGAGATCAGCCTTCCAATCACTTCTATTGCTTCAATATCTATGACCCACAAACTCTTATCATCTATCCAGTGTCTCTCATGATTTCCTATCCACAGATATCCTTTTGGAATATGCATGTTCCACAAGAAAAGCCACTGCAACGAGAAGCCCACGTAATGCTATGAAAGAGTAGACCATACTCGCTGCAACTAGAGAAAGCCCACATAGCAATGAAGATGCAGTGTAGCCAAAAATAAATTTGAAAAAATGTTTTAAAAAAATTCAAATTCAAAAAAAAGAAAAGACTGACTTATGTATACCTTTCCATAGTATCCCAGAGTATTCTTATATCCGAATGTATGCCGAGTATCCTATTATCTTATATTATCTTTGTAATGACAGTGAATATGGCTAAGAAGCAGAACAGTATGCCCACTGTATCCTTAGTATTTTGCATGCTTATAAGTACTCAGTAAAACTGAATGACTGGTGAAGGGGAAAAACAAATTGTCAAAGCAACTCATATCCATATTCTATTTCAAGGAACCTAGTGGCTGGAAAGGTACATTAACAATGTATTCAAGTTGTCCCTGAATATTTATTGGAAAAACTGATGCTAAAGCTCCAGTACTTTGGCCACCTGATGCAAAGAGCTGAATCACTTGAAAAGACCCTGATACTTGGAAAGATTGAGGGCAGAGAAGGAGGTAACAGAGGCTGAGATAATTGGATGGCATCATCGACTCAATGGACACGAGCTTCAGCAAATTCTGGGAGATAGTGAAGGACAGAGAAGCCTGACATGCTGCATTCCATGGTGTTGCAAAGAGTCAGACACGACTTAGTGACTGAACGGGTTGTCTGTGTGTGCCTAAGAATAAACATAGTAGTCTAGGATATGAATGGACAAGATAGATCTGATTAGCTAAAAGTGAGTGGTATCAGTGATGAGAAGTTGATGAATATACAGGCTAGACAAAGAACAACAGCCTAGAAAAAGACACACACAGACATCTCCCTAGGCAATTCTATTACTGTACAGCATAGGTAGGATCCTTCATGATAAGAAATCTGTAAGTCTGTTATGTTTCACTGAGTCAACTAAACAGATAATTTGCTGAGAGCTTATCCTTCACTTTTGTTGTTATTTAGTCACTAAGTCATGTACAACTCTACAGTAACCCCACAGACTGCAGCGCACCATGCTCCTCTGTCCATGGGATTTTCTAGGCAAGAATACTGGAATAGGTTGCCATTTCCATCTCGAGTTCAGTTCAGTTGCTCAGTCGTGTCCAACTCTTTGCCACCACATGAACTGCAGCCACCAGACCTCCGTGACCATCACCAACTCCCAGAGTTTACCCACACTCATGTCCATTGACTCAGTGATGCCACCCAGCCATCTCATCCTCTGTCATCCCCTTCTCCTCCTACCCTCAATCTTTCCCAGCATCAGGGTCTTTTCAAATGAGTCAGCTCCTCACATCAGGTGGCCAAAGTATTGGAGTTTCAGCTTCAACATCAGTCCTTCCAATGAACATCCAGGACTGATCTCCTTTAGGATGCACTGGTTGGATCTCCTTGCAGTCCAAGGGACTCTCAAGAGTCTTCTCCAACACCACAGTTCAAANAAATCCAACTTGAATACCTGGAAGTTCACGGTTCATGTATTGCTAAAGCCTGGCTTGGAGAATTTTGAGCATTACTTTGCTAGTGTGTGAGATGAGTGCAATTGTGTGGTAGTTAGAGCATTCTTTGGCATTGCCTTTCTTAGGGATTGGAATAAAAACTGACCTTTTCCAGTCCTGTGGCCACTGCTGAGTTTTCCAAATTTGCTGACATATTGAGGATCCTCCAAACCCACATCTCCTGCATTGGCAGGTGGATTCTTTACCACTAAGCCACCATTCATCACCTTTCAGCATCAATCTACACTTTTTTCACTGCAAAAACTATATAGATATTAATAGCTCAGTTTTACATTACTTCCAAACTATCTAATAAAATAGATACATCAAGAACGGGAATTCAGGACTTCACTGGAGATCCAGAGGTTAAGACTCCATGCTTCCAAAGCAGGGGTCATGTGTTTGATCCTTGGTAGGGGAACCAAAATCCCACATGTCCTGTGGCACAGTCAAAAATAAATAAATAATAGAAACGTTTTTCCTTATATATCAGTCTATGATGAATTCTTTTTAAATATCAACATTACCTCATAATCAATGTCATCTATTTATATTTATAACCATCTATTTCTAAGAGAATGACGGATAAAATAAGATTATTTGGACATGATACAACATTGACCTTATAAAGGACACAAAAAGCTTCTGTGCATCAGGAATGGAACAACTAATACATACAGACACCAAATTTTTCACTAAGTCAGTGACAGTGGAGGCAAAAAAAGAAAACATACTATTTTCTAAAAGGAAATATAAGTTTATCTGTAAAAATATAATTTTTTTCTCAAACTAGAGTTAACATTGAATTATAAGTAACAAGCATAAGAGGTAATAATAAACTATGCTTGTACAAAAGATGACACATTATGATTTAATATATGAATTAATTTACAAAATGGTGACATTAACACTCTTTGAGAACCTCTATATTACATAAAGTGAGGTATGCCTGAAAATAAAAAATTTGATTATTATTGAATATATCATTAAATATTAATTTCCAAGTCTAGTACTAATATAAATATAAATTTCTTTTTCCCCAAATTATGACAAATAAAAAAATCAGTTGTTTTTTGAATGTTTAATTTTTTCATGTCAATATTCCAGACCTAATCATCAACTTTATGTAAAGAATTCTTAACATCTGCAGAAAAAGATACCTCCATATATAAAGAATTAATGTCTAGGTCATATTCATTCACTAGAACTTCTGATCCATTGTATTTTAAAGATGGGATGACAACATCAGCTATGATATAAAACCTTAGAAATACATAAAGATCAATTTCCACAAATACATAAAAATTGGTATCATTACTAAAAATGATAAAAACTATAAACAGGTAGTGTTTTTTGGTAACTTGAACAGTTAATTGTCAATGGGAAAAATGTGCCTCACTTGTTCATTAACTTTCTTTTCTTTCTCCAACTCTTTTTCCATGTCCTCCAATTCTCTATCTTTTTGTTCCAATTGCTTTTCAAGTTGGCGAATTTCATCACGTAAAAACCGAGTGTCACGCCCACCTGCAGAGTGCTGTGCCATCTGAAAGTAATAAACCAAAAGTATAAATTAATTCTTATTACATTTGGAGATTCAAATGAATCAACAGCAAACAAATAATTATTTTGACTTTTAAATTTTATTATAATCAGCACCAGGTGTTTAAAATCAAGTTGCTTAAGAACCATTTTTATTAAGCGTATTTAGGCTTTAGTTCACAGACAACCCTTTAAGCTCTTCCTAAGCCACCCAGAGCTACAAAGAACTGACTGTCAATCACTCAGATTCTGTTATAGCCGAGCCACAGGCATCAGGGTAAACTACAAAGGCATATAATGGTCTATGCAATGAACTATTTAGGCTTTCCCTGAGTACCAGAGCTCTGAAACAACGCCAAAATCCACCTGAGCCTCCACCCTAGTCACTGACCCACGGAGCTTTTAAGCAGCCCTTCCCCTCATATCACTGACCCATATTTACACCAGTGCTATCTAAAAGGACTTTCTAGGATAATGGAAATGTTCTCTGCACTGCCCAATACAATAACCACTATATACATGTGTCTACTGGGAACTTGAAATGCAACTAGTGCAGGTAATGAACTGAATTCTTAATTTAAGTTGTAATTAATTTACACAGTAATTAATTTAAAGGCTAACAGCCACACATAGCTAATGCTATTATATTAGACATCCAGACTTAGATTACCTTTAAAACCTTGCAGCAGACTAAATACATTTTGCTTCATATTCCAGTTACTTTGGGTCATGGTCAAAAACACCAAAAATCCTCTAGTCCTCTAATCTGTCTCTAAGTCATCTCCCTGCCATTCGGTTCTGTTATTCTTCTACGTTAACCAAATTTTTCACTCTTTACCTCCCTCAAAAAGCTTTACATTATGCTCTCAAAGAAAATCTTCTTCCAAGATAAACTAGTATTTTACTTCCCTAGCCTTTCCACTGACTTATCCTTTCTATCCCCTGGCTTTAGCTATAGCTTGGCTCTTTTAGTACACTACTTCATTTGGAACTTTTTCAGATTGGAAATGCTTATTCTTTCACATCTCATATACTTAGAGGTTAAGAAAAGGTGTTGATTTACCACAAACTATAATTTCTAGGCTATCATTCCTCCGCCATCGTGTAAAAACTCCTCCTGCTGCTTTGAACCTCACATGATAGCCAGCTTTCTTATCATTACCTATTCATGGCAGTAGAAAACTACCAACTTCCCAGTCATTCCTTCACAAAATTCACTGAGAAATTTTGGCACATGGCTCGCAGTCTTCCATCAAAAGTCCCCAAGCAATTTCTACACATATGTAACTTTCATTCTGGACTTTCTTCTTTTAAACTCTCTTCTTGTCTGCATGATAGCCTCATACTCCCATCCCCACACCAGGACTTTGTCCAAGCAGAAACATTCTCCAATTATTCACAAAAACGTCTGCCCTTTTACCTCACAAGACCCTTTCGTCCCTTGACTCCTCTTCTCCTTAATCTCTCCCTAACATCCCCATCTTGATTTCCTTGCCTATTTAGCTTTTTATAATCACTGCTTCAACCAATATCTCCAACTGTCCTATTCTTCTATCCTGTAGCAGTTGCCCTGCTAAACCAGCACAGACCTGATCTGACTCTGTTAACTCACTTGTGCTTGCGCTTAGTTGCTCAGTCGTGTCTGACTCTTCGTGACCCTTTGGACTATAGCCAACCAGGCTCCTCAGTTCGTGGGATTTCCCCAGCAAGAATACCAGAGTGGGCTGCAGCCCACTTTTTCTTGCCGGGAAAACTTGCGAACTGAGGATCAAACCCACGTCTCCTACATCTCCTGCATCGCAGGCAGATTCCTTACCCACGGAGCCACTGGGGAAGCTCTCATAATTCAGTTAACAAGTACTTATTGAGAATGGTATTTCCCGAGAAGCTGGATATACAATAAGGGATAAAAAATAAAACCATCTGAATCCATAGAGCTAATATGTGAAAGAACCAAGATCCGAACATTCCAGATCCTGAAATCTCCAGTTCATTCTCCATATATTTTAGGTTTTATCTGACTTCCTTAAAATTTGACTACACATCTCCCACTCCTATTTTTAGCAGATGACCTCTTCATCCTCTCAAATTCCAGGCACTAAACCTACCAACATGAAAAGCTTCTGTAAACATCAATTCTTCCTTCCTTCCAAGTACAAAGGATAAAGGCCCTTCCTCCTTATAAAGACTAATCCATTTGTATCACATTCTTTCCAATAATCTCCATAATTTCAATGTATTCAGTTCCTTCACTGAAAATTTATGTTCACATTTTGGCTCTTGGCTTTCTCAGAAAGCTCCTCTTCTCCTACACCTTTCTGTCACTGTTCCTCAAATTACAACATGCCTCACTGCACCTCAGTAATGGTAATCTCTCTGTATATTAATCTAGACTGTAAGCTCCATGAGGTTACTCAACATTTTTATTTTGTTCACAATTAGATGTGCAATCCTTAATAGAATTTAAGGTACATAAATAGGCATGTAAAATATATACTGAATAAATAAACACAGTATCATTCCAGTGATTTTCCAGCCAAACATAATGAAAAAATTTGAAAATAATAATTGAAAATGATAATATTTATGACAATTATACCCTAAGGAATACAAAAGAACATACCTCTAGTTCATTTTCCAGTTTCATTACTTTAGTTTTTAATTGATTTTCTATTAAAAAAGACAAATGTTTGAACTGGTTAGATTTATCTCAAAACAAACTTTTAAATAAATTTTGATAAAATAATAAAATCAATTTTTAAACTCTATCATATTTATAACAAGGTAACATAAGAGAAAATAACTATTTTGTACATTTTCCATGAAACAGGAGTTCTAGAAAAACCTTTTGAAATAAACTATACAAATATTATAGACTCTATATTAAAGTTGATTCTCTATTGCTTAGTGAATAAATGGAATCCACTCTTTAACACCACAGTAATCCTTTCTCCAAGGCACTTACCAAATTTTGCTTGTTCTTCTCCAGCTTTTTCAACTTCTTCCAAAGCTAGCTCTACTTCTTGAGCTTTCATCTAAACATTAAAAAAAGTTATTTCAGTATGCCTTTACAACAGAACATAAGCACTAAAAATAATTTAGTTTTATTTGCTATCCTACTACTTAGGGCCTGCAATGCCTGGCACAAGAAGACATTCTGCAAATATTTGCTGAATGAATAGGTGAATTTCTTAAGGTTATAATTTCTAGATTTCTAAAAGTTTGAAACATCTTTGATTCCTCTTCTTCCCTCAAGTCTTATTTCAAGCATTGCAACTTTCCCTTTGTAATGTTTTCAGCTATCTTTTTTCTATTTTAATTTTCATTATTCTAGCCCACAATTTTATGTCTAACTTCTTACATAATGTTATGTCTAAACCGCTTCAATTCTCTTCAATTTGTCATTTAACGTAACTAATTTAACCTTCTGAAGGCAACTGTATGGCTCAAAAACCTTTAATGGCTTCTAACTGTTGAGCATAAGATATGCCTTTAAGGCCCTGGACAGCCTATTCCAAACTATATCCAACATCTGTTTCTTCTACAACGTGCTATAAACTTTCTGCACTTGTCTCCTCAAATGTAAAGAATATGCATATTTTCTATCCCCAGTTTTTATTTACACTAACATTCAGCTCTAGAGGGCTTCCCTTGTGGCTCAGCTGGCAAAGAATCCACATGCAATGCGGGAGACCTGGGTTCAATCCCTGGGTTAGGAAGAGTCCCTGGAGAAGGGAAAGGCTACCCACTCCAGTATTCTGGCCTGGAGAATCAGTCCATGGGGTCACAAAGAGTCAGACAAGACTGAGCGACTTTCACTTCACTTTCCACTTTCAGCTCTAGAGGGCTTCCTAGATGGCACTAACAATAAACAATCTGCCTGCCAATGCAAGAGGCATAAAAGATGCGGGTTGGGAAGATCCCCTGGAGGAGGTCAGGGAAACCCACTCCAGTATTCTTGCCTGGAGAATCCCATGCACAGAGGAGCCTGGCAGGCTACAGTCCATGGGGTCACAAAGAGACGGACATGACTGAAGTGACTTAGCACATATGCACACCAGCGCTAGAATCTCGTTAACACTTTACCACTGCCTCCACTTACCTAAAATTACTGAACAGTCTTTGACCTTTATAAGGTAAGAGAGTGAGTGAACGTCGTTCAGTCGTGTCTGACTCTTTGCTCCAGGCCAGAACAGTGGAGTGGGTAGCTGTTGCCTCTTCCAGGGGATCTTCCCAACCCAGGGATCGAATCCCGGTCTTCTGCATTACAGGCAGCTTCTTTACCAGCTGAGCCACCAGGAAAGCCCTTATAAGGTATTCTCACATCTAAATCTCTTTCTCTTCTAACAAATCCCTACAGTGGTTGGCTACTCTAACAAATTATAACATAATTAACGTAAGACAGGCTTCCCTGATAGCTCAGTTGATAAAGAATCTGCCTGCAATGTAGGAGACCCCGGTTCGATTCCTGGGTGGGGAAGATCCGCAGGAAAAGGGATAGGCTACCCACTCCAGTATTCTTGGGCTTCCCTTGTAGCTCAGCTGGTAAAGAACTGCCTACCATGTGGGAGACGGGGGTTCAATCCCTGGGTTGGGAAGATCCCCTGGAGAAGGGAAAGGCTACCCATTCCGGTATTCTGGCCTGGAGAATTCCATGGACTATATAGTTCATGGGGTCACAAAGAGTCAAACTGGACTGAGCGACTTTCACTCACTAACATAAGACATCCCTATGCTTTTTAAAACACAACCATTCTGTTTCCCCTACACATTCTTTTAGGAACTTTAGCTGCCATTTAGATTTTACAAAGTACTTTAGAGATTAACTTATCTAAGAAGAGATTCTTGAGCTTTCTCTAATAGTCAAAGCTATTAGTACTGCATACAAACCTTCATTAGTGATTGAGTAATTCTAAAAAGGTGTATCATATTTTCTTGACTTTCACTTTTTAGCTCATTCACTTCCACCTAAGTAAAGAGAAAAGCAACAATTTCATATTTTATAATCCTTAAGCAAAATATAAGAATTCTTTCAGTTGTACCATTCAGTAATTTCACGGACAATTTAATCATAGTTGTATGTATGTATCTATGCTTTCTTTATCAATTAAGTACCTTGGATAAGGAAATCAATAAATTATCTGCCAACTCTTCTTGACGAGGCAGCTCATCTGGATCAACCTTTCTTATTTCTTTCCAGTTTATATTAGGTGGCATCTTGAATTCTTTCACTGTGCTTTACCTTCAGTAACAAAACAAGTGGATATTAGCATTTACAAGGTTAAGCAGCATTACTGTTTTTACAGTAATTTAAAGTTGTTACAGATCACATTGTTACAACTCTCTAGGGTGTTTGTAAAGAGCTATTGCTCCTTAATTGTGTAACAGATATGTCGATTAAATAGTCTGTATGAAAAGTACAGCAGTTGCAACAAATAATATTTTATCGGTCAAATAATTTACGAAGGCTTCCACGCTTAAACTAAGTCTAGGTCAGAACTAAGACTCAGTCCCGCCTCTCCATGCCCCCTTGCCACCAAAGCGCTCGAACACCTAATGGTGCCAAGCGCGGGGGTGCTTGGAAGGCTAAAATTGAGCCCTGATTCTGAGAAACAAGAGCTAGGATTTAATGTTAAGGACGAAGTGAAGGCGTGAGATGAGGACTCCAAATCCCAAAATGCAGTTCTGCTTGGAGGCCGGGACTTTTAGGACGTTGATGTCTCTGAGAAGTGGAGGTCGGCCGTTCCCGGCGTGCAGTGCGGGAGGCTGCGGCGGTACCGAGGTACGGGGGAACCGCCCGGAGGCGGGAGGCGCAGCGGCCGAGGCGTGTCTGCGCTGGTGACCTGAAAGAGGCCCAACATGACTGTACCTTCGGTGGCGCCGCTCGCCGCACCGCTCTTCCCGAGGTTTCTCTAAGTCAACCCCGGGTGGAACTGCTCCCAGGTGACGTCAGGCTATTGGTTAGTGGCTGGGGAGGAGTTGATGTGGGCGGTCCCGGGGGAGAGAAGCTCCTGCCTTTGGGGCTGAGGGGCCCAGCCAGAGTCTGAAGAGGTGGGAAGACGCCGCCCTCTCCTTGGGCGTTCGCTGGCGACGCCCTGGGTGGTGCCTTCTGTAAGGAGGCAGAAGTTTTGGCTTCTTCCATTTCACCGTCTGTCTCTGTACAGTGGAGTTGGGGGCCGCGAGCTTGGTTGGGGTCGAGTGAGGATTTGGGAAGAGGACACCGCATCCTCCGACCTCGGCCGCCTTACCTGTAGCCCCATTATCTTCGCGGGTTGACGGACTTGAAGGTTGAGCGAAGGTTCCAGAGAGGAGAGGTTAGAACTTGCCCAGGCCACTGCTAGGGGGTAGAAAGAGAAGTCACCTCTCTACTCACCAGCCCTGTTGGTGTTACTTGCTAGGTGACCAAGGGTGTCTTTCCCTGACAGCTGCCTTCCCAAACGCTTGCAGCTTTGCTTTGTGCGAGTTTTGCCCATCGGGCTGCTCTCAACCATTCTGGAATGTGATACACCGCTAGGAAAACTTTCTCAAGCTGTAGACTTGAAATCTAAAATACATTTTCAACTGTTTCGACCAGTGCCTCCATCTTTTTTAAATTTTAAGCACTTTCTTTCATTTGCTAACTCTTAATTGCTACCGAAGTTTACTTTTGAAAATAATTTTTCCAAGCCGTTCAGCAAAAAATAAAAAACATAATTTTGTGATCCATTTAGAGACATTCATCGGATTTGTAGTAATGATCATTTTGTCTAGTCCTTTACTGAAAGATGGTATGCCAAACATTGTTGGTTAACCCTTTTTTGACTATGCCCTGTATAAGATAAATTATTTATCTTATAAATGAAAGTTTGTACCTGTTGACAGATCTGTTCTCTGTTTCTGTCAGTTTGCTTTTTTTAGATCCCGCATATAAACGAGATCACAGTTGTTTTTCTTTATCTCTCTGACATTTCACTTAGCATAATGCCATCATGTTCCATCCATGTTGTCATGATGTCATAAATGGTAAGATTTCTTTTTGTGTGTCTGAGTAATAGTGCATTATGTGTCCATACTATTGATACATTTTCTTTACCCTTTCATGCATGCATTTATACTTAGGTTGTTTCCACGGGTTGGCTATTGTGAGTAACGCTGAATGACTGTCTCTTCAAAAGTGATTTAGTTTTCTTCGAATATATACCCAGAAGTGGAACTGCTGGGTAGTATGGTAGTTCTGTTTTCAAGCTTTTGACGAGCCTGTATCATTGTTTTCTATGATGGTTTCATCAGTTTGCATTCCCACCAGCCACACAAGTGTTCCCTTTTCTCTACATTTTTGCCACCAATACTTATCTCTTGTCTTTTTGATGATAGTCATTCTTACCAGGTGTGAAGTAATTGATACTCTGATTGTAGTTTTGATTTGCATTTCCCTGACCTTGCGTGATTATGAGCACCTTTTCATGTACTTGTTGGCCATTATATGTCTTTGGAAGAAGTTCCTGTGCCATTTTTGAATCAGGTTTTGTTTTTTTGTGATTGAGTTGTATGAGTTTTTATTTTGAATATTAACCTGTTTTCATATCTGTTTTTGCAAATAGATTCTCCCATTCCATGGATTTCCTTTGTTATGTGAAAATGTTTTAGTTTGACATAGGACTGTTTATTTATTTTTATTTTTATTTTGTTTTTGTTGTGCTTGAGTTCCAAGTCCAAAAAATCATTGCCAGGACCAATGTTGGGGAGCTTATCCCCTATTTCTACTGGAAGAATTATGGTTGTCAGTTGTATGTTCAGTTCTTTAATCCATTTTGAGTTGATTTTTTAGTTGAGTGAAGTAAAACAGGGGTTAGTTTCATTCTTTTGCTTGTGGTTCTGTTTTCTCAAAACCATTTATTAAAGAGACTATTCTTTCCCCATTGTATATTCTTGATTCTTTTATTTCTGGCCTCCTTAATCTGTTCTATCAATCTCTGTGTTTGTTTTTATGCTAGTTGCAAACTGTTTTGATTACCATAGCTTATTCATTATTTCATTTAGTCTTCATAATTCAGTGAAATAGCTGCTTATATTGTTCTCATTTTCCAAATAAGTTAAGAAATCAAGGCTTGGAGAGTTTAAGAACTCTGCTCAGACTTGAATAGTATGATTGCACATGAATCTTTCTGGTTAAAGGATATGTTTATAACTGATACATGGCTTTCTCTTGCATGCTGGAGACCAATACTTGTAAAGTGCTTGTTCCTCTGTCTTGCTGTCTATATTAAAATATGTATTCTGATTACATAACTTTGTTTACTCAAGAATTTGAATTAAATATTCTTCATGTTCAGTGTTTTCAATTCATAATTTAGCAGGGGGAGGCAGAGAGGAAAGCTGGTGTTTCTGGAGCACATATGTCATTTACTGTGCTTAAAACTACATACTTACTTTTGTAGTACTCATCTGTTGTTATTACTGCAGCACCTTATTTTTGTTCTTGTTTTTTCATTCATTACAACTATTATTTTCTATTTATTTATTATTTTTGTTCTGTCTGTTTTAGTCTTTTCTACCTTTACCTCTCCTCACTTTCTTATTCACATTTAAGGTACCTAGCCTAATAGTAAGTTTTATTCTCATTTTTCGAAACTGAATGAGTACAGGTTCAGAGAACCTAAGTAATTTTGTAATAATTAATGACACTAAAGTTATAACCCAAATCTCAATAGCAGTACTGATTAAATGCAAAATCTTGCTTAAATTTTATAACTTTGTTATTGTTGTTCCGTCTCTTAAGTCATGTATTGACTCTGTGACCCCATGAACTACAGCATGCCTGGCTTCCCTGTCCCTCACTATCTCCCAGCGTTTGCTCAGACTCATGTCCACTGAGTGGATGATGCCAACCAACCATCTCATCCTCTGTCACCTCCTTCTCCTCCCGCCCTCAATCTTTCCCAGCATCAGGGTCTTTTCCAGCGAATCAGCTCTTCACATCAGGTGGCTAAAGTACTGGAGCTTCAGCTTTAGCATCAATCTTCCCATGAATAATCAGGGTTGGTTTCCTTTAGGATTGACTGATTTGATCTCCTTGCTGTCCAAGGGACTCTTAAAGAGTCTTCTTCAGCACCACAGTTAGAAAGCCTCAAATCTTCAATCCTCAGCCTTCTTTATGGTCCAATTTTCACATCTGTACGTGACTACTGGAAAGATCATAGCTTTGACTCTTTGGACCTTTCTAGGCAAAGTAATGTCTCTACTTTTTTATATACTTTACTCATTCTAACAGTATCTTAGGGCTTTTTCTCTCTGCTAGACACTGGGGATGCAGTAGGAAATGAGTTAACTAAGGTCTAGGCTCTAATGCACTGTAGTATGTTTGTACCTAACTGTGGACAAAGAAATTTAACTTAGGTTCTAGTCAGTCACTCCCTATGTATAATTTTGAGGAAAATCCCTAAAACCCACTATTATTCTTCATGCAGTTTTCTAAATCACTCAATTTTTACCAAGAGAAGGGATTTATCTGACAATTTTATAAGTGGCTTTACTATAGGAGCACTTGCCTGAATCTGCCTTCTTTCATCTTTTTGGTTTTATGAGCAGTTTTATCTTCCCAGAATCACTTCACAAGAAACACTTGCCTTTTATAATTGCTACTTCTGTTCTGTGTACCAACCAACCTACATTCTAGATGTAATTCCCATCCCTTTTATGCTGCCTTATCAAGAAAATGAATAGTAACTTACTTTTCCAGTTTCTAACATAAAGCATGGTGTTGAAAAATTTAGTCTCTACTGTGTACAGAAAGTGTTTTGTTTTGCCTTGCACTCATGGAGAGGAATCAGTGTGCAGCAAGCAAACACTTGTCTTCTCTCAACATGAGGAGACTGGAAAGATTAGTAGGAGGCAGTGTGAATACAGACCATGCAAGCCAAAGTTTTATTTTTGAAGAAGATATAATCATGAAATTATTGAGCTGAGAAGATGTTCCTCTCCAGGCTAATATTCCCAGATTTCATATAATATAAATATTTCATAAAATAGTCCTATAGATTTATTTTTTTCCCATGATTGTATTGTTGGGGTATTAGGAAGAGTGAGCACTCAGTACAATTTTGAAGAAATTACATTGTTTTCTATGTTCATAATGTGCTTATGAATGGTCAGTTGCGTTTGGATTCTTTGCATATAGTGACCCCTCATTTGGTAAGCCAATCAATCTTTCCGTCCACTCACACTGTGCATCTGTGTGAATATGCTTTTGTGCCTAGGAAAAGA